TGGTGACAAAGTTAATTCAGAGTTTCAGGCCCCAATTGGTGGACTTGGACTTGTGAGAATGAGGAAATCCTATCTTCTGACACAGCAAATTATCATATCCACAATGAAAGATGACTTCGGACAAGATTCCTTAATCTCCATCACCCTGGCAGCACGACCAAGTTAGCAAAAATAGGTAACACCATTCAAGACTGTCTTCACCTCAAGACAGACATTTCTGCTCGAGGCTGTGAGGCGCTTGAAAGTGACTAGCGGAGAGTATGTCTTGAGTCTATTTTGATCTGGCTCCCTCCTAAGCCTTGGAAACTGATGGGATTGTGCAATTGTTTGAGAATATCAAAAGTGTCAAATGTTTGTCAGAGTAAGTCAAAAAGCATACCTGACTTCTGCCAGCTGCGTTTCTTTGGGTCCTTCAAATCACTCTCCGGCACGGGACCACTTTTCAGCGTATGCCTTGCGACGGTGTCCTTCTTCCCTTCGTCTTGGGAATTCGCTGACTTTTTCCGCTTTGCCAACTCCACTGGCTTAGTTACCTTTCCGCCAGCTTTGTTCTGGTATGAAGAGTTGGAACTCCGTTTCGACTCAATTGGCGCGAATTTGCCTTCATTCCTGTGCAGCTGTGACTCAGGCTCCGCGGTTTTCGGACCCAGTCTATGGTATCTTTGGCCGATGTTTGTGTGATTGGTTGCCTTGGCGTTGACAAAAGACTCCAACGGACCGTATTTGAGCCTGTTCAAAAGGCAGGAGCGCACAAAAACACCAACACGACGTTGACATTTGCCGTTCACTCTGCGTTCGTAGGTTATCCTGACGGTCATTTTGCCATTGTGACATTGTGATTTGACTGAGGTACTGGGTTTGCAGGCTTGATGAACAAAAAGGCGGAGTTCGAGGGTCGACAGGGGAAGGGAAAGAGCAAAGGTAATCTGACATGATGACATGATATTATGCTTTTTGAATAACTTTTTTTGTCTGATAAACTATCTGTGTCCATTTCATTCAGTAATTGCATTTCCTAATCGGACTAATATTCAGCAGAAAAATTCTAATTAATTTCAGTGCGAAGAAATATTTCAGTCCAATGCTTCATTTGAAAATGCCTTTATACGAGTCGAAGCGCATTGGTTTGAGGAGTAAAGTTGTGAATACGAGGAGTAAATAGGTTTCGACCAATCCCATATGATATCATTGTTGGAGAGACTTTGATTTTTTATGAAAGTGCACAAAGAAGATATTCGAATTTCGCTCTTACTAGATGACAATGGCCGATTCCTGATATGCTACAGCCGTCTGGCTTTAATACGACGTTCATCCTCCATCGTTTCAAGTAAAACGGACTGAGCTTGCGCCCATCATATGATGGACATCATCAGAGTTGGAACTCATTCTTGTAAAAGTCTCAAGTCAACAGTGGATCAAGAAGAATGTTTGGCTTTATCTTATCTTTTCATATACTCATAAGTAAAAAACTAAACTGTACAGGTTTAGATAGATATAGGATAGTTTAGCTAATTATCCTTCGCGTTGGTCATGCTACTCTTTAGTTATAAGTAGATAGATAGAGCCAGACGGTCTTCCCGACCTAGAGTAAATGTGAGACATTAACAAGCATGAGTTCCCGTTCTGATGATTTCTATCATATGTTGGACGAAAGCTCATCCGTCTCTATCCGAAACAAGAAAGGATGACTTGTTGATTTTCGTCGTATTATTAGCCAACCGGCTGCAGTACAACGAGAATTAGCCGTCGTCTTCTGGTGTGATCGACTTTCGAGTCTTTTCTTCATGCACTATCATACGAAATAAAAGTCTTTTCAACAATGCTCTCTTGGGAGACTAATCGTAACCAATTTGCTCTTCCTATCAACAGCATTACTATTATTTGATTATTTGCTTATTTTAATTTATTTTGGTTTTAATTCTAGCTAACAAAGGGTGAGGCCTAACAGTTTGTTATTCGCTAACTAAGTGTGGAAAATAAATGTTTCAGCTGTGGATTCCTCTCTGATCCTACACCACACCCATTCCCGGCTTTCTGAGCTTCAAACTCCGCCTCCAAACATTCAGGAGCTTAGACCACGCATGAACTAAGACGTTGAGCAAACTTGCTAAGCGAATCAAATCCTATATTAATTTAACCGAATAGATTTGGGTGATCAGTTCTCGGAACACTTCACTTGGACTTCAAAAAACGGATCATACCACTTACGACAAGTCTTCTGAACAGTGAACGTCTCTCGTTTGCATTGACAATTTTTGATGGAGTACTTAGTCGTTATCCTGTTCATGATACCGTTTTGACAGGAGCTGGTTAAGGTTTCAGGCCGGGGACACGCTGTAAGGAGCAATAAACAAGAGAAAATATTTAGTCATACTGAGATGAAAAAACCAGTAGGTCTAATTTATGTATATATGAAGACCAAGATGTTGTGGCCTCTGTTATGGTCGCAGTCTCCTTTCGATATATAAAAGTGGGTTGACCTCATTGTCGCAACTTGGTCTTGTTGTCAGGGCGACTGTGTAGAACGCTGTCATAGTAGTTGTCATGAGTCCCAGCACCTAAAAGTGGACTTGATACATCATCAGTGCGTGTTGTCATTCCCCACACCAAGCTACGAACTCATCAAAGAGACAAGTGAAGTCAATCCCTATTTAACCCGACTCGGGCCTCCAATCTGTGACCTTAAGAGATCTTACCACTCGGATAAGGCTAATGAATGCGTTCTACATAGTCGCCCTGCCAACAAGACCAAGTTGCGACAACGAGGTCAACCCACTTCTAATTTATGTAGTCTAAAATGGCATTCTAGGTGGATAAGCCAGTTTGATCTGCGGATTCACATCAGGATGGAAGAATTTAAACGATTGTCGTAGTGGTCCTACTACTTTTCATCTAAATTCTGACTCAACTTCGCCAGACGTCGTGACAGCGACCGGGACCCTTGGACTCACTTGACTTACTAACATTAGGAAATGCATTTTTAGAACTATCTGGAAATCTCACCAATGGGAACTCGAATCACGCGTTTCCTCGCTTTGCACGATGCGTCCTTGGAAAGTGTGAAGTAGGTAGACTCGCGTAGCAAAACTTGATTATCTCGGCAAATCATCTCGAACTTGGGAGCTGGGCAGCTGGCATAAAATAGGACGAAGAAGATGGTATGAAGGTAAAGATTTCAATTGGTGGGTTTCTTTGGTTAATTTATTGGCACCATCAAAATAAGTAACAGAATGAGTTGTTCAGATAAGCGCTGATTTAAAGTGGACTCTGCAGGTAGGTCAGTCTGACAATTTAAATTAGTTGAAGATATGAAGACCAAGATGGTGTGACCTCTGGCATGGTCGCAGATTTTGGTTGATTTTATAGAAGACTTAACACACACACACACACACACACACACTTGAATGAACGCATAGAAACATAACACATCGTCACAAAATGGCATTAATGTACACACCAAAGCACTAATTGACCTGAAGGACCATTTTAGGTTTAATAACCACCTCGATTTTTGTCGAGCTTGTCATCTATTAAAAATCTCTCACCACAGCAAAAATTTACCTCCTAATGTTTCGTCTAATAAATAGGTTTTCCGAGACTACCAGTCGATCCAATAAAATAGCTGTTTTAACTCTATTTCGCTTAAAGTGATGAACTGAATGAGTAGGCTCTAGGTTTTCATTGAATTTCATATAGCCTTGATTTGCCAAAAGGTATTCTTTTCCAGGCAGTAGTGGAGTACAGTTTCGACCTCGCCTTTGTCTCCTCAGCACCACCAGAAGTGTTCGAACTGTGCAGTGCAGAGCATAATCTCGACACCCTCGAGTCCCGACAAGGGTGCTGAAGAGAAATAGGCGGGTCGAACCAGCAGTCCACTCATGTCTGGATGAAGATAACTTTTGGAAAGACAAGCTTTTGTGAAATTCGATGGAAACTTAATGCCTAATCAAATCGTTGTGGGTAAATTTAACTACCACCTTGAATAAACTAGCAATAATACAGCCAAGAGACGGTTATATTCGAACTGAATAAGTGGTAGTGATATGCAAATATCTTGACAAACAGCCCTCTCTTATACGTTTGAGGTCTTATCTTCGATATTCAAATTATTAATGAATTGCGATCGCATTAAATATTTAATGTATCACAAGTTGATTAGGGATAGTTTTACATTCGTTTTGCTATCTTACGTTGCATGTAAGTCTACCATGCTCCTTTTTCTAAAAGTTTCTAGGAGTCAACTTGTTATAATATTAAAAGTTTATACATTGTGTATGCATACTCACGAGACTGGCTAAGTGGGAAAAACAATTATTTCAAAATCTGACGTCCGAAGGACGTCTCATGCTGGAACGACAAAAAATGATAAATGCATGACTCACCCAGTGTCTGATTTTGCAGTGAAAAACTCTTGATCTCTGATGGAATCCACGGCATTTGATAAAAGTAGACCAATAAGGCTGATCTGAAGTACCCTCCATGCAGAAATCGCAGGAAGCAATCCAGCCTTGGCCTGATTTCCTCCTCCAGGAGGAGCCAAACGCCATTGCATCTTTTACGAGCTGGCGCCACCTATGAACTGTCCTTTTTAGGCGCCAGAAACAAGTGGGTTCGAAGCAAAGGGGATATGAATGGCAAAATTGGGAATGGGTAAGTTGCTCTCGGAATGAAGAGAACCTGATATGAGACCTTGTTTCTGAGAGAAGCTTTAATATAGCAAATGTAACACGGATTGACATTCTAAGACGGGCAAATTGACAGCCCGTCATAATCACAACGCTAAAAAATCCCCACAAACACACATACACACAGAGGATGTACATATCTCTACATTGGACC